CCCTCTCGCAGCACTGCCACAGCGTGCTACGATGATTTTTGGAATGGTGTTGGCAGTACTGCCAGCGCTGACAAACAATTTTGGAACACAGCCCTTGGTGAGGCACCGTGAGCGTCATGATTACGTGACGTCAGAAATGCGGGAAAAATAACGGTTTCAAACATTTCAGAAAGAAAGGGCAAGCTGAACACGACAAGACGGCTGCGTTAGGGTCGTCGGGTGAGATATCTATCTTTTTAGGTTATAATATAAGTCCTGCATATAATAGAAAAGATTAAGAACTTCCCAAATATAGGAATAAATATTAAATATTAGAAATAAAAAATTAAAGGAAATGAATGTGTAAATGCTTAATAGATACAAATAGGATATGAGACATATTATACATATTTTGTGAACCATATTTTATTAATTGTATTTATGCGTTATTAATTGTATTTGTGCGTTACGTTTAATCTCTATTCCTAATTTTTTCTTTTTCTAGTATTTAATATTTACTCATATTTTTGATATTATTTCTTCTATTATGCGAACCATATATACATACGCTTTCCATTTACCTTTCATCAGGTTACGTTTTTTAACTTATAAATTGTGCTACGACCGGTCCAAAATAGAAAAACTTTAGCACGCTATTTGTTTCGGACCGACCATTAATGTCGTAAGCACTAATAGAACTGTGAGCGTGAATCGGACCGCGGCCCTTATTGTCTGTGCCTATTGTTTGTGCTTATTGGGTGCTTTCCCATTGCAATATCCCTAGACATTTTCGTGCACATGGCGACACAAGTTGCGTTCCAATTGTCCGTTATCGTCGACACTAGAGACCCTCTAATCAGAGTCGTGACACGAGAACAGCCAATTTTGATTGGTCCGTCATTATTCAGCAATTCTCGCCAATATTCGAATGTCAATATTGTAGGAATGGGCGATATGCGTATCGATACTCTAAAAATCATTTGCAAACTAATCTATTTTGTGAAAAATCAATTTTTCCAACCAAAACAAGCATAGAATGACAGAAATAGCGTTAATAGCATCTCCCCGAATGCACCTATTATGCGATTGAAGTAATGCTTACTAAAAAAATGTTTTATCTTTTTTTATTAAAGTTATTTTGATTTTGAAAATTGAGGTGTATAAGAAAAGAAATAAATTAAAAAAAAATTTCTTTATTATTATAAAGAAATATAAAATAAAAAATACATAATACATTTACATATTGTGTATCGCCATGGAATTACTATTGTACGTTTTACATTTAGTACTTTTTTTATTGCTAATTCTTAAGCCGACGGCACACGAAGCTTGTTTTCCTACTGGATTGCTAGCTGGATTAGAATCTTGCCACCGTATTGGATGTGATGCTATCAGTGCCAGTATCGTAGTCAATACAGTGGCAAGATTCTAATCCAGCTAGCAATCCAGCAGGAAAACAAGCATCGTATGCCGCAGGCTTTAGCCTAAATATGACAAATTTTTTAATGATTTGTAAATATAAACTATGACATTTTAAAATATGTCGGTTTGCTTTAACTGTAGAAAATTTTTTAATTAAAAATAATGCTTGATTACTTTTCATGTGAACAATATACTTGAAATAGTGTTGAAACATTTGTTCAAATTTTATAAATACTTTTAACGTTTCAATATTGACAAAAAATAAAGAATTATTTGTATAACATTTTAATCGTGTTAATTTTGTAAATGAATATGACAAAGCAGTTTTGGATACTACTGATTTTATGCAATTTTTACAAAATTTACATGTTTTCATAATTGATTATATAATATATATCCAGCAATATTATATAAACTATTTAAGTGTAGACTTGATAACATTGGTGCTGAATTTTTATTGAAAGGTACAATTTTGCCATTATTGCTATTGTTATTTAAATCTATATCAATATCACAATTCCTTTTCTGTTTTGCTTCAGACAAATATTTGACGAATCCGGATATATATTCTCTGTTATCATTATCATAATTACTATTACTTGTACTTTTCAAATACAGAGAAACAGAAATTAACTTTAAGTCATTTGAAAACTGTTGCGGATTAGATATTACATTTTTCATTCTTATTTGGGAAAAAAGATTTTCCATACTGTCTTGAGTAAAACGAGAAGTTAAAACAAATTGAAAATTCTTTTGTGTTATAAGGTAATCTGTTAATTCAAGTATAGACTTAGTACTAATTAATATACCTCTCTGAACTGGCTTAAAATTGCCATTACTTATTTTTTTTTAGCTTATTAAAAATATTAATAATTTCATTTAAAAATTCGACATTTGTGTTGTACACATTTTCATGTTTTTTGCCTAATGCTACACTACAATTTCTTGATGTCATGAGAATAAACCATTTCGAAACAATGTTTACAAACCACGCAGTCGTAATGTATTCTGGTTTATTATTCTCATCCGCAAATAGTTGCAGAGCACTACTAACATCGTTAGAAAAAATGTTTCTAGCCTCATTTACTTTCATTTTTTTGAAATTATTGGACTGTATATCATCTACATATAATTTAGGCGTTAACAAAATGTCAGAATCATTTTGAATATTTAACAATTCATTGAAATGTTCCAATTGTACTTGATTTGTAGGTAAATTATATTTCATTACTATGTTATCAGAAATTGTTATTGTTCCATTGTTAATTAATGCTTGTTTCAAATTTTTAAAAATATGTGTTGGATCACCTATTACATATAGATATCGACTTGCATCGGATGGATGTTCAACATGATTAACTATTTCACTATGTCTACCTGTACTTATACCTAATAGTTTCCATGACCCAGTGTTTCCCGACCCCATGTCTGACGTAATAAAGTTCACATTTCTGATAACCCATTTCTTCAGTTTTTTCAATAATCTGAAATATTATTTTCTGTAAAGTTTTACTAGCAAAACTATTCCCAGTGAAATGATATCCCACTATATGCTTCCACCGATTACATATACCCACAAGCATGAACACTATAGCATGCGTAGCAATACCTTCATGAATAATAAAAATAAGCAAGCCCATCAAAGCCAACATCAATTGTTCGGATGTACAATTTATTTTCGTGTAATTTAATAAATCATATCAAAAATTAATTAATTAACGTTTCGATCCCTATTTTTGGGTCCTTATCAATATAAACCTAAATCCGCTTACATACTATACGCAAATTCCAAGAAGCGATACAGTTCATTCTTCTTTATCCAATTTCCAAGTTAGCTGTGTACGAAATACTCACATCAATATAACAACTCACACCGGCATAACAAATAATATAATTCAAAAATTACATATACTAAACATATCCAAACAAAACTGGTATACTAATACTAAAAAATTGAAGTTATAAAAATTAAAAATTACGCATACAGTCCTATACATTATATCGAATTGAAAAGAAAACTTATACAATATATGAATTGCGATTAAAGTCATAAACTATGCGTTAATAATTGAAGTACTGAAAGTTACTACAATTGTAAAGTTACCAGAATTAAATCAAACGCATTGTAACTACATAAAAATATTAGTTTGTAAAATAATATGAATTTTAAATAAATAACATTACGTCAATTTAGAATAAATACAATGATATAAACTTACATAAAAATAGAACGGAATCCAATACATTATGTCAAAAGGGTAAAATACCTTCATGGTTGGGAAATGTTACATTACCTATTAACGATGCAGTTGAAGGATTGTAACTTCGTTTAGGTGTAATGGACATTTCGTCAAAGATTAATCCGCATTCCAAATCCTTTTCACTTTCAAAATACGGTTTTTTGTTGCTCAAAAATTCAAACATTGTTTCAGAAATTCCAGGTGTAAACTTAAAATTTTCTATTTTTCGCTGCAATGTTCGTAGACATGGAAGTGGCTGTCCTTGGCGAATAAGTTCCATGTATCCATTAACACCACAAACAAATTTTATTTGCAAAGCACGTTCAATAGTTTCATTTGATCGAATGTTTCGTTTTTTTGAGATTAAACTTTAATCTGACAATCAGTAAATACTGTTTGTAAAGCTGTTTTATACTTATTATCTTTTTTTAAAGTACTATCATTATTTTTTAAAATATGTACAGTGAATCTTAAAGCTTTTATTGTTTTCCACATTTTAATAATATTTAGCTGTTGTTTTCGGATAATTTCATTGAATTTCTTATATTGCTTCTCTTGTTTTCTTTTACACTGAGCTCTATATGAAGCTGGACACATTGTTGATAATTCATTGCTTTCAGATACATCAGTCATCACCTAAAAATTGAATTAAAAAATTTAAATATATTTCAATATATTATCTTCTCATAAGTGTTGTTGCTTTAGCATTAACCTGACAATCCTGCTCTTGAGTATCACCACCAGATTGATCCAATGAAACGTCAATAGGTTGATGTAATTCAACAGATCCAGATGCATCATTCATCATCTAAAAATTGAATTAAAAATTTTTAATATATTTCAATATGTCATCTTCTCATTAGTGTTGTTGCTTCAGCATTAACCTGACAATCCTGCTCTTTAACATCACCATCAGGCTCATACAATTGAACATCATTGATAGACTGACAACAATTATTAGATATTATATTATTTACTTTATTATTCTCTGTTATGAAAACTTGTATAACATTAATTTCAATTTCTTCTTTTGATTCTTTTTTTAAAAAATAACCAAATATTGTGGGAACTGCATTTGGTTTTAATTTTCGCATATCAGTTCTTCGTTCCCACATAGTTGGAGCAAAATGTACCTGCATAACACAATAAGAAAAAAGATTAACTTATTAAATAATCATAATTGACATATAGAAAAAAAATAGAACTTTAAAAAGACACAAAGTTGTCATACGAGGTGTGATCAAAAAGTAAGGTGACTTTTTGAATTTCGCGCGCTCTGTACACTCTAATTTCAAAATTTTTTTTTGTTGTGTTGGTACACTCGTCACGATCATATGTTCACAGTTTTGACTATGGTTGCTTTCCATTTGATGACACAAATCGACACAAGTCGACATAAATGTCGTTCTATCCTTCTTGATATTCAGAGAGTAACAAAGATAGAACGACACTTGTGTCGATTTGTGTCGACTGTGTCTCCTAAAAGGAAAGCAGCCAACATAGCATGTGTTGTTTTTATGTGAGAGGCATAAAGGTTAGACTCGTGTTTTCGTGCTCGGCGATTTTTTGCTGTTGAAAATAATGGAGCAGAGAGTTTGTATTAATTTTTGTGTAAAAAATGGTATTAAGTGTTCAAAAA